GAATTGTTCGGATTGATACCTGGTGCTGATTTTCACCATCGTACTACCCGCCATAAACTAAAATTTCATCCCAACCATCTGGACGAATAGCGGTCCTCCACCGTGCGTTTTTCAAGGCACTTTCTTCCACGCACAACCACTCTTTGGAATCAACTTCCAGCAGCAGTACTTTCGAACCGATACGACAACATAACCTTCAAGAAAAGAGCATATTCCTTTTTAAAAGGCCGGCAGCACACCTGCAATGCCTTTAGTGTTGTGGGTGATCATGGGCGGCGGTAGTCACTTAACACCACGTGAGCCACATGCTCGTTTGCCCCCTGTGTTGTAAAAAAAAATTAAAATAACAGGTTTGGCCACAATTGAAATTAGTCTTACTTTGTGGAACAAAATTTTAAATTATGAAAACACTGTTTTTATTGCCAAGTAAAAAACTACTTGCTACGACTAGAAAAATACTGGTAGACACGTCCTTCCACATTCTATGTTCAAATATTTTAGACCGAATGTGTCTAGGAAACGTCTAGCCATTCGTCGGGTTTCATACTTTCTTACGCTGTTTAATAAAACAAAAAACAGCAGAATACTGCTGTTTTTTGCGAAGCGAAATGTACAAATTTAAATAAAACCTGTAGGTATGTTGGTAGTAAAGAGTTGCAGTGCAAAACCGCGTTCTTGTGGAATAACAAAATTTACGGTCGAAATTCACACGGGAATAGGTGCGAAAATTGCTAGAGCTAGTGTAAATATAAAAATGAGAATTAGTAAACATGTATGTATTTCTCAGGGGATGTCTAATTTCCGCGGGAGTTTTCCGCAAGCTTTATTGCTATCCACGATTTATGTTTTGCTTGGTATATGAATTCATTAATTCATTCATTCATTTCAACCATTATCCGTTTACTGCTGGACATAAGCCTCCCCCATAGACTGCTATAAAGGACGGTCCTAAGTCAACTGCATCTACTGACTCCCTGCAACGCATTTCAAGTCGTCACTCCATCTATTCACTAGTGTTTTACCCGTTTACCCATACGAGGTCGCCACTCAAGAACCTTTCTTCCCCATCGATTGTTGGTTCTTCGAGCTATGTGACTAGCCCATTGCCACTTCAGCTTGCTTACCCTTCGGGCTATGGTTATTTCGGTATATCGGTTATTTTGGTTCTTCTAGATAGATAGATAGATAGATAGCAAAAACCAAATAATAAAAAAAAATATTCCGCCTAAAATCAAATAACATTTTACAGAAGACTTCAAATTGTTTGAATATTATCAAACCATGCTTATTCATGAAAAGCTAAAATATTGCCTCCCATAATTAAAGATTGAGTGCCACAAAAAAAAATCAACTACAATTGTGGTTAATCTAATTATTTCCATTCAAAAACTGATTAAAAAAAAATAATTTTCCAAATCCGTTTAAAACAGAGTAATAAATATTTAAAAAAAATATAAACCAATTGAGACCTTCTTCTTTTTTAAATGGAAAAGAACAATTTTTCAAACAGGTATTTCAAAGTTAAATAAATCAATTGTATACAGATGCTCCACCGCATAAAACGAGCTAGTCATTATTCAAGCAAAAAAACTACTACGGCGAGCGAATGAGCACCTGCCTCATACCGCGATTAGTAAATTCATTGCCTATCTACCGAATGTATTACTGTCATAAAATATAAAATTTAAACTAAAAGCACATTTATTTATTTATAGCTAAGTTACAGAATATATATCAATACATTCAGGCATTCAAAGTTTTTTTTTTTATACAACTTAGAATGGCAAACAAGCTGACGGCCCACCTGATGGGAAGTGGTAACCGTCGCCTATAGACATGAGCAATACCATGGACATAACAGAGTATACTGTTTCGCCCATGATACCCCCGATGCGTTGCCATTCCTGAGGACTCAGATGTTATTCCTCTGTACCCAGTAAATTCACGCCATATCCCACCCTTCAAACCGAAACACAGCCATGCAAACATAACTGCTTCACGGTTGAAACACGAGTGGGACAGAGGTACCCAAGCAATCGACTTTTGTACAAAGTCTCTCTCTGGAAGAGATCCCTTTTATGGGATAAGTCCACTATTGTACTCATTCTTTTCTTAAGAACTCTATGTCATATAATTTAAGACTTTACTGTACAATAAAATGTTACAAACAAAAAAAAAAACATTAATAAAAAAAATATTATATAACACAACATCAAATCTGTACTCTAATAAATATTCTGCATAACATCAGGAGAATATTGACTATAGATTTAAATTTACAAATTGACAGTTCTCATATAACATTGCGGGGGGGAAAGGGGTTGTTAGTAATGGAGATTGAGAATCCCATTGCTAGCAATATACCCAACCAGGTCGACTTTCTCGCGATTCCCCCTAGAAACTATCATGGTTAATTCCTGATGAATTCATCATGATGGGCTAACTGGCCTGTTTTCATTCTCATCTATCACCCTTCACTGGTGCTCCGCCAGCGTATCCCGTTAGCGCAGGCGGGGTTACCGTACCATTTTCACCCATCAAAATATATATATATATATATATATAACATTGCAAAGATTGTTGGATGATATCAAGGTCTTTACATACATTATTATATTTTCTACCCATGCGGATAATTAGATTATGAAAGGATACATTATTAAAAATAGTTTTTGTTTTCGCTTATTAACTGTACGAAATAAAACAAGGCTCAACAAAGTGCTAGTATTCTCTGTCTAATCTTGCTATATAATATCTACCGTCATAAAATGGAAATTAGTTAATACTTATTACTTGAGAACAAAATATAAAGTGCCACACGCAAGCCCGAGAGGTTTAAGTGGTGCTAAAATTTCTTATTTAATGTTTTTGTATGTATTTGCATGGTAATTAAATAAAAACAATCTAGCTTCCATGTTCATAATATTAGTAAAAACCCGTGATTAATGCGACCCGCGATAATAAAATAAATTACCGCTACTTGGGTACTTCATAGAGGTAGGTGGCGTAAGGGATTGTGAGTGTGGACTAGCAGTCCCATTGCTAGCAATATACCCTGTCAGGTTAAAGTTCCTCCTAGAAACCATAGTGCTAAATTCCAGGTGTATTCATCACGATGGGCTAACTGACCTACTTTTTTATTCTCACCTATTATCCGTCACTTTGCCCCATCAGAGTATACCATTAGCACAGGTTATCATTCCATTATCGTCCATTAAAAAGATGCTTCATAGAAATACGAGTACAATGATCCATTTAGTGTTTTAGTGTCATTGTCATTAAGCACTTGAAATTGTGATTTTATTAGAAACATGATAAGTGCCCTTCATTATAAGTGCAATAGTAAATTAGTTGCAAAAATATCAAACTAGTAATAGAATATAGATAGACAGATAGATACATACTTTTTATTGTTGCCTTCAAAAAATTACAATAATAAACTTATTATAAACACATACAATTACGAGAAAAGATTACACTGAGAAAACAATGAGCGGCCTTATCGCTAAGAACGATCTCTTCCAGCCAACCTTTGAATGTAAAAAGTGTGTGTGCATGTGCGTGCGTGAGCGTGTGCGTGCATTTGCGTGCGTGTGCATGTGCGTGTGCATGTGCGTGTACATGTGCGTGTATATAATAACGTTATTAATGATAATGAATTATCTATACCACCAATATTGTAGTATATTATAAAATGCCAGATGATGCCAGCAAGTGTCGTCGATTGGTTATTATATAACTTATTATTATATACATTATATAATTTATTTTGTTAAATTTGCAGGGTAAATCCCCTACCTTATTTACCTATAAATGGTCGGACAAAACGAATCTATTAATATGTTTATTTGTTTCTTATCTAGAGGCGCATATTACTTACCTATAAATATAAACAATAGATATGTATCAATAAATATAAATAGTACATTTAAGTCTTGAAAAAGATGGGCGCCACTTCACATTAACTGAGATTTATTAATACAATCTATCATTTCTACCAGATAACAGCAATTAATTTTAATATCCCCTCTAATATATATCAGAATTAATATTAAATTATGAATGTCTATATAGATATTCATAATATATATAATATATTATAAAAAATGTTTAAAACTAGCTACCAATCTCTCTAACTCACTTACTTTTTATATGGCATTATTTAAGTCATTTTATTCACGTTTCCATACGTTTTCTCGAAATAATTTTTTTCATACAGACCTTGTTCTGACAATTACAAACACAGAAAAAAAGAATTAGCTAAATATGCGCAGCCATTCTAAAGTGATGAACTTACATAAACAAATTCGACAATTTTTTTATATAGTTACGACTACAATTTATTAAGTACCAGATTTCAAATATTTTGATTGATTTTCATAAAATGTAGCCTATTTTTTCTTTATTCCGGGTACTGCATATATATTAAACTTTATAACGATTGGTTGAGCGTTAAAGCACTAAAAGGCAACAAACAAACTAACTTGCTCATTAATAATATTATTGAAAATCGGGTTACTAAATAACTACAGTATTACAATTTGAAACTACAGAGCACATAGCGAGATATAACACCATGGTCCTCACGAATGGAGTGTGAAAGTAAAGTCAATTATAAACCGATTTAAAAAAAATCATTTTTTACCCGAAAAGATGTTTCAGTTTGTTTTCATAGAAGTTTTATCGAAATCGGTTTAGTAGTTCAGTTTTTAAATCAAAATAACTGGTTTTGCCACAATAGAAGTCTGGAAAACTGGAACTCAATCTTATTATAAGTCTCATATGAAAAGATTCATTGTTAATACTTCTCTCATATGAAAATCAATTTAAAATGTAACAGTAGGAAAAGTAACATAGTGCCAGACAATGATATTTTACGATCTGAAAACGTTCTGGCACTGAATGTAAAACCGAAGGTCCTTAAACTCACAGCAATTGTCTGAAGTGACCTTATCTGTGTTTAGTATCGATATAAAAATCTTAAGAGGCACTACGTACACAATATTACAATATAAAGAGATTGTTAGAGCCACTGAAATTAGTTCGGTTTTGGAGAGCAAAACACAAGACGTAATCGATATGGCGAACATTATTTCGCTTGTCGTATTCTCCGTTCTTATAACCGTTCGTGGTAAGCAGCCATTTGTATTAATATATCCTGTCCTTGTACCCGTACACCGATCACTTAGTAAGGAAACATTATCATCCATAAACAAAGGTTTCTTACTAATATAATAAAGTTGTAAGTACACGTTGTCTGTACGTGTATTCTCAAATGGGTGATAATTAAGAAAAAAATATATCGTCAAAGTCGTAGAATACTGACGGATCTGACAAATATTACATATATAGATCCGTCAGTATTCTACGACTATGACGATATGAGAGATCTTAATAAGACCAATAGAAGTCAAAACATTTTTTTTTTTTTGGAGTTTTTGTTTCTCTGTCTGTCTAATGATGGAGAGGTAGGCAGCAGCATACCTCTTAAAACATCATAAAAAGCCTAACTGCGATTGTGTCCCACCTGCCAAGTGTGTGGGCAAAACCCCCCTTTTATAGGGGTGGCCTATGTTCAGCAGTGGACAGTTAACGGTTGATATAATATGGTATGGTCTATCTGTCTGTTTGTTTGTTCCTACATCATACAATAAAACATCATCATCATCACATCAGCCTTTAACTGTCCACTGCTGAACATAAGCCTCTACCATGGGGAGTTTTGTCAGTAGTTGTCATGCTTGGCAGATGGATTGGCAACCGCAGTAAGTATTTTAAGAAGAATGCAGCTACCCATCTTTCGCCCTCCCTTAGTCGTCTCTTACGACACTATTCTATGCCGGGACCACACAGCCAAAACAAAAGAAATACTTTACCAAATTAGATACGGTTTTCACATGTTGTGTTCTTGAAAGTCTAATTTAAACTGATGTACAGTTTATCTTGATATGTAATCTAGAAGTAGTCCATTTTAATGATTTTTCCTAAATTCAAGCAAACAAAAATATACACTATTTTTGTAGGCTTGAGAGGCTAGCTGTGGGCAAAGAGCTAGTTAGATAATATATCTCGAATCGTATATTAAAGCAGTATGGTAAAGTTATCAATTAAAGACTACATTTTTTTAAAGTAGTGACTGTTTACCATCAGATGGGCTGTATGCATGTTGCTATCTTTATGGTATAAAAGAAGACATTACTTATTAATTTTATTATGACTAAAATTACGGTTTATTTATTTATTTATTTAGAAAACACAACAGATAATCAAAAATATACATAGTTAAGCGAAATTACCAAAAATCTCAGAAATCAATTACCTTATTTCTAATTTCCAGTAATGCAAATATAAGTAATATAAAATTAATTTCATGTATATAGTTTCATAAAAATAATGTAGACCCATAATTATTTAAAGCCCGAGTGGGCAGTTTGCTTTCTATAAATATTCTCAGCTAATTTGAAAGTTCAGTCACCAAAATGCCTCTTGGGAGTAAACTTAATAACAACTGTTGATAGAACAACACTGTTCTATTTATACAAACATGGAGTACTTCATTATTTTTATGTTGACAATAAAATTCGTAGAATCTCTACATTCCATGTGATATTTTTTCTTTATGTGGCAAAATTCGAGTTCAAGACTGGCAATAACAAAAGGGGAATTAGCAATGTTTTTTTATTCAAGTTAAGTGTTTTTTAATAGTTACTGCTTATGGTTTAACTATACAATTCAGATTGAAATTTCAACTGACTCAGCTGTTGTATTTTACAAAAAAATTAGTTTTATTAAAATTTTATGATAACAGTAACAATCACATATTAATAAAGATTTTTACAATTGATCGCAATACTCTCGAACAAACCAGTCCCTACAAGCATTACTCGCTCATGAATATAATGGATTAACCATCCGTCATTGTGATCAACCATATCATAAAAAAATCAACAACTCCGACCATCACATCGCCATCTGTCTAGACATTATAGTAAGCATGACTCCCTTCAAAATTCCATAGTACGTCAAAATTAAAGATATTATCGAAACATACCGTAATGCCGGAATCACAGATTCGCTTTCGCATTTTACCGCCACCCCGGTAGCAATTGCTTACTTACCTCCCCACTTGTAGGGCGGTTCCTCTCAAGCTCTAAGATTCACACATTTTGCTTTGAAGTTATTGTGCCCATTGTGAATAAATTATATTGGTACGATTTTGTACGGCTTTAGTAGAATAATTCTGCGTAAATATATTTTTATTCCATTATGTAATATTCATGTACCTATAATAAAATTTTAAATATCAAAGAGAAAGGGACCTGATTATATGAGAATACGAGGAAATGCATTAAAATGGTTTGAATCATACATAACAAATCGAGTTCAAGCAACGGAAATTATTTATTTTAAAAAATCTAATAATAGCATGGCATGCTTTCAATTGAGTTTTAAATTAACAAATAGAGGAGTCCCTCAGGGTAATATATTGGGTCCCTTGCTCTTCTTAAGTAAATAATTTACTCTTATTAACATCACATTTAAGTATTTTATTCGCTTACGATGCTACCATTTTAATAAATAAAAACAGTGTGTCTTTAGCTGAATATGAATAAACTATTAATTCAATATTAAATGAAATCAAGAACTGACTAAAGTCAATAGATCTAGACGTTATTCTAACTAAGACAAAAGTAATGCAATTTTATTCCCATCAAGCTATTCCTCCTTTATTAAAAATTCATTATGACTCAACAGAAATAGAAAATGTAAAGAGCTACAAATTTCTTGGTTTAAATGATATAAATGCTAAATATACTCGTGCCAATATAAGCCAATTTTTTAAACTAACAATTAATAAGTAATTTACTGTTCTCTCAGGTTCAATTATTTTTCCTGATTATGACTTGACATATCAAGAACCGAGGATCGTCGGCGGGGAGGATGCTCCTGAAGGTGGAATCCCGTACCAAGTATCTCTCAGATCCAAACTGAACTCCCACTTTTGTGGAGGCTCCATTTTGAATAACAGATGGGTGCTTACAGCGGCCCATTGCACTGTCGGATAAGATATATATTGCTCTAATGAAATAATATAAATTTTCTCCCAGTCTTTTTCAGATTAGACTGAAAATAAAAGTGTATATTCTTACATTATGTCAAATTATTGTATCAATACTTGATAATACTATAAATGTGAAAGTGATGTTGTTTTTTTGTTTGCTTGTTAACGCCTAGCGTATTAACGCTTAACCAATCAATATGAAATTTGAAATACACACACTTTACGGGACAGAAAATAAACATAGACCCCTATTTTTTTTATACAACTTAGAATGGCAAACAAGCTGACGGTCCACCTGATGGAAAGTGGTAACCGTCGCCTATAGACATGAGCAGTAATGGACATAACAAAGTATCATGTTTCGCCCATGATACCCCCCATGCGTTGCCATTCCTGAGGACTCAAGTGTTATTCCTCTGTACCCAGTAAATTCACGCCATATCCCATCCTTCAAACCGAAACACAGCCATGCAACCACAGCTGCTTCACGGTAGAAACACGAATGGGACAGAGGTATCCAAGCAATCGACTTTTGTACAGTCTCCCTCTGGTCTATAGTCTATTTATCTCGATTATAAATAATATTATAAATAGGAAGACTTCATTTTTTGTATATTTGTTTTCTTTTTTGTAATAGATAAAAACAAAAACTATTTAACCAATTTATAAAATTTCTTTCACCTATAATCTACGTTATCGATAAGTAATAGGCTGTATATTATTTTCTGGCAATCCGTGCGAAGCTATGGGAGATCGCTAGTATATGATGTAATCCATAATGTGACAACAGTCGACTTTTGTTTTTATGATGAACATAACATTCGACTAGACTTTACGCAATCATGGCGAAACCTCGGAATACTCGTGTACGAATAAATTGATACGAAAACTTTTGCTATCCTCTAGAGCTCACGACCTTTGTGGTCACAAATAGCAGGAGCTAATCAATAAGTCACGACGCTGGTTACTGGTATTGAAAGCAACTAGTGAAGTTATAATCTCTTATGATCTTTTCGATCTTTATTGCTTATATTACAGAGAGAAAAAAAATATTAAATAATTATATTAATGAGCCCAGCATGGCATTTATAAACCTTTATTTAACGTGCATTACGATTCACGTACAAGTTTTTCCAAACAAAATCCGCAAACCATTTTTAAACACTTGCTGGCGTTTGATTTTGCTGAAATTTTTAACTTTTAGCTGACATTAACAGTCAGAGTAGTTAATATAATATTATGATACCATTCTGATGGTGAATTCGTGTACTATGCATCATAAATCTGTAATGTTTCGGCTCAATTGTTTTATTTTGATAAAAACTGTAAGTCAATATGATTCCCAGAGTTTGATGATAAAATTTAAAGACTAAAAAAACTGTTTTTAAACAGACTTGTTAAATTTTACAATATTAATTATTTATGCAACTTAGAATGGCAACAAAACAAACAACAACAACAAGTGGGCCGTCAGCTTGTTTACCATTCTAAGTTGTATAAAAAAAAGCTGACGGCCCACTCACCTATAGACATAAGCAGTACTATGGACATAACACAGTATACTGTTTCGCCCTTAATACTCTTCATGCGTTGCCATTGCCTGAAGACTCAGGTGTTATTTCTCTGTATTAAATATAAATTAGAATAAGATTGTCATATTCTAGTAATATTTATAGAAGCTTATTAACGTTTCATCATAAATTCCAGCCAATCAAGCAAATCTATCCAAGTTGTCGTTGGCACAAATACCCTTAAAAGCGGGGGCGATCAATATTCAGTAGATACCATCATCATCCACAAGGACTACAACAGTTATCTGATCACTAATGATGTCAGCGTCATTAGAGTAACTGAAAACATCGAGTTCACTGAAAAGATTAAGCCTATACAGCTACCTGAACGTGATACTGAAAGTGGAGCAAGTCTACTGTTAACTGGTTGGGGAAGACTCTCTGTAAGTTAAAATATAACATAAGTACATATCAGTCATATCTTCAATATCATATCAACCGATATCTGTCCACTACTGGACATAGGTCATTCTCATTGACTACCATAATGAACGGTCCCGAGTTACTTGCGTTTTATATGCTCGTATTTATTAATCAACTCTATTTTCTGTTAATTGCTGACTATATAAAAGAGCAATGGAAATTATTCTAGCAAACTTGGTTAAAACTTGTTACAAAATTAATCATGTTAAACCTCAGTAAAGGATAAAACAATAATAGTGCTAGTATCTACAGACGAATTACTCAAAGACATTCAATTTCTGATGCAAAGTATTTACATTCATATTTAGAAGAGCTGCTGAAATTAAAACTGAGCAGAGAGTTTGCATCTTTTATCAAATGTATCATAGAAAGAAGTCCAATTGTTCGGTTTCATACCTGCTGCTAAATTTCACCATCGTATACTGACCACAAACTAAAGCTTTATCTTCCATCGTGCGTTTTAAGGCACTTTCTTCTATGTACAACCTCGCTTTAGAATCGACTTCTTGCAGCAGTGTTTCCGTACCGATACGACCTCGTATCCTTCAAGAAAAGTGTATACTCATTTTTAAAAAGACCGGCAACATACCTACAATTCTTCCTGTATTACTGGTACTCATGGGCGGCAGTAGTCACTTACCAACAGGTGAGCCGCATGCCCATTTGCACCTTGTGTAAAAATATTAGAAATTATAATCTGTCTTCTATTATCTTCTATCGGATTCTCCGATAAAAACAGAACAGCCGATGTCCCGTATCTATTCAATTGAGCATCACTAGCGGAAAGAATAACTTTTTTATTATACTTATGTATTACATTTTCCTTTTTGACCCTGAATCCATAGTCCTTATAGTCCTATGTATAAAATTTCTTTAAAATATTGTCTAAGCATCTGTGGCGAATCAGTGACCTGAGAACTAATATCAATTAGAGAATGGCACGTGAGAATATTGGCACATGCGACTCAATTTTCTACATTTATTTTATTATTTTTATTTATTGAACTTGTCTTACATAAAGTATTTTTTGTAATTTCAAATAAGAATAATATTAGTTCTTTGAGGCAGTGTTTATTTAGAAAAAAATAAAGACATTTAAAATTTTATTTTGTTTGCGTATAAACTCTTCAACATCAATTATCTCAATTTACTATCTATAATTAAAAATGTTTTTGTTATAACGAAAACAAGTTAAAAAAAAAACAATAAATCCGTTGTTACTTTCTTTATAAGTGCATCAATTTTGAACAGGTATTGCTGTGTACAAAATTTAATTTGTTAGTAATTCTCATTCAGTTTTGTTTTTACGACCGTCCGGACTTTTATTGTCTCAAGACTAAACTAATATCGCGCAGACGAGATTCCACGACAAAGGACAAAATAAACATTTTTACAGTGCCATTTTAAAATGTATTTAACCGACTTCAAATACGGAAGTTACCAATAATCTGTATATTTTTTTCAATGTTTGTAAATTTAGGTTAAGTTATTTTATTGGCGTTGGCATTATTGGTATATATTTCAAAATTCGTTTTCTACATGTTTTCTTCTTGCTTATAAGAGTTAATGTATTTATAATTGCCATTTAAAAAGATTTTTCTCAAACATGCTTCTTTGAAATGTGAGCATTATTTTGACAATCTTCTTCGAGATAAATCAAAATTTCCGTATTGGCCAGATACATACGGGCAGCGGCCAGCAAAAGTTGTATGAAAATCCATATCTGTCGTGTTTTGCGGCCAGATCAATTACTATGTAGACTCATATCTGTCCTGTAATTTAAAAATAGAATGACCTTTTACTTCGAAACATGACTACCAAGGAGGTAACTAATAAAAGGTTTTATTTAAATTTCGAACTGGCTTACAAATAGAAAACTGTTTATTGAAAAAAAAAACAAAGGAACATTATGGCGCTGAATAATTATTATTGATTCGTCCATGAACTTAAAAAGTAAAATTGTGTTTTTTATTTCCGCGCATTGTTTGAGAAAAGTACTATACAAGCCTTGGCCACAACTAGGCATTGATGGACTCACGTATGTGTACCTCGGCTACGCATCGGCTCACATTTGCACGTTCGTCCATCAATGCCTCAGTTGCTGGCCGCTGCAGTAATATACTATTTATTACAATTCGTTTTAAATTCAATATCTATTGAATTAAAAATTCTTAGTCTTTATTCGTGTTTTGGTGTGTATTTTCAATGATAATTTAATAATTATTTTAATATCACATTGAAGATCATACTTGCTGATATACCTTGTTACTCGTTGTGCTAAAATACAACTTTTTAGTAATTATTTTAACTTTTTGTGCATATTTTTCTTTTGTTTAGAACTATATACTTGGATATATAATTTATACAGATTATATCTTCAAATCAGCTGTTTTTTAACCCCGCCTGCGCTATCGGTATACACTGGCAGGGCACCAGTGAGGGATAATAGGTGAGAATGAAAAATCAGGTCAGTTAGCCCATCGTGATGAATACATTTGGAATTCAGCACAATGGTTTCCAGGGGGTACCACGTGGAGGTCGACCTGATAGGGTGTATTGCTAATAATCGGGAAATTAGATCCCATTACTAACAATTCCTTTCCCCCCTCAAATCAGCTGTTAACTGACCACTGCTGAACACAGACCTTCCCTTCCGCACTCCTGTAGGGGGGTTTCCAGTAATTGCCATACTTGGCTGGTAGATTAACAATCGCAGGTAGACTTTGGTGATGTTTAAAGACGGATACCGCTGTCCATCGCTCGACAAATAAGGTCGCTTAGTCGCCTCTTACAACACCCACGAGAAAGGAAGGGATGGCTCATTGAAGTAAAAGGAAACTATTTATAGATTATATAATTCAGATCTATATAAATACAACAATGTCGGTTTATTTACACCTACAGTTACATAACTCCAAAACGACTGGACAGATTTTGATGATTTGTTGGATTCGTCTCCGTCCTGATATCGGAATAACTATTAAAATATTAAATATAGAATGACGGAAAAAAATACAGAAAAAAATATTTTAGACTGTTAAGCGATACAAAGTTCGCCGGGTCAACTAGCTAAATATAAACTTAATAAGTACTTTCACGGAACCTTTATTAGATACCTCAAGAGACTTCAAGTGAAAATAGATTGTTATTACATCTGCTATATCATCATCAATACATCTAATAAAATCGTAACTGGTCGCTGTCTGTACATGGAAGGTATATAAGAAAAATTATTATAGAGGGACTTTATGAACGCAATAAAACCCAAAACAATGATTTGTCTGTCTGCACGTTTGCGCACGCTAATCTCAGTAACGGCTTAACCGATTAAAATGCAGTTTTCTCTAATGTATTTATTTATTTACACATACACTAAACAAACTTTTCATTTAAATAATATTATTAATTAGATACAATCGTTCTTTAAGAAAAAATAATATAAATTATACATGTTACATATTACAATTGTATTGCGGTTTACTTCGCTTAACATTTAGTATTTGTTCTATTTTAATCGATTCATGCATAAAAAAAGTTATATCAATCTAAAGAATCACATATAAAATGCTATAAAATAACCAAACAGTTGAATTGGCCGAACCATTATGAAGGTATTAGTATATAGTATGTAATTATCATTTAAGTATATAATACAAAATAAGAATGGATTCATGAAGAGTTCCAATGGGAATGATATACAGGAACTACATAGTTAGACGCGAGCAACGCTGCGGGAAACGACTAGTTCTAAATAAAATTCATTATATTATTTTTTATCTTTATGGTATTCTCAAAGATGTAAGACTATTAGAAGGTGAACAAACTCAAAATTCTACCAAAGCTCCATTGTATATTATTAAAAATGCCAAAGACGATCATCATCCAGATCATAAAGTTTATTAACTATTTTTATGTGTGTTCCAGTATCCAGGCTCCCTTCCCAATAAACTGCAGATGATCAATCTAACAGCGCTGAGCACAGAACGCTGTCAGAGTTTAATGAATAAGGTCAATCCTGTATACGATACACAAATATGTTCGCTCACCAAATCCGGAGAAGGCGCGTGTCATGTGAGTATTATGGAGAAAAAGTTTAGGTTATATTTGTACCCTGAAATTGCTATTCAAACTGTTCAGAAAATTTCCAAATAGACTATTCATACTGGCCATTATTAGCCGTAAAGTATTTTTTTTTTATCTGCCATCATATACAAACAATTTCAACCGATAAGAACTGGCTGGAAACTCGGCTTTTACTATTAGAGTTTAAGCATAGTAATTTACTTAGTTATATATTCAAACATACACATTATTTTTTACATTATTTGGAATTTTAAACAAATTAGCAATAGAATAGGTAAATTATCAGAACTATTCGACAAGCCTAAGTTTTTTAAATGGTATTCTTATTTTTGATTTAGACACACCAGTTCTAATAAATCAATTACAGATACACCAAAAGTCTTTATCAAGTCTTTGGCTTTAGCGTAATTTCAACTCGGTCGGCTTTTTATTCCCTATTCATTGTATATTAGGCATCTACAGTACAAAATTAAATAAGTCCCAAAAGACTGATACTTTTGTAGACATATTCTGTAATGTCAGTGATTTTTTTTACGTCTATCGACGACGATTTAGAATCAGTTTGTTCCAGATTGTTATTCTCGATAATAAGTATAATATAAAATATATATTTTTAGAGACATAAATAGATTCTTCATTCCCAGCAATAAAAATAATTACAGGTAAAAATAAATAACAATAAATAGAGAAAAAAAATAACGATTTATTTTGCTGGTCATAGAAGCCGCCTCAGCTGTTGCTATATATGCACACCTCCAGCGAGATGTACCTATATAGCACTGTATTTCAGGCGGTCCCTTAACTTATTTAACTTTAGCATTCGTATGGATCGCCAATACCTATTTTTTTCGTATGATAGCGGAGTCATTCTCCGCTGTTGATTTAAAATAAAATGTTGTAAGAATAATGTGATAGAACATGCTATGTTACTGCGGGCATATAGAAAGAATGTCAGTTGAAAAGATGAATGAAACTGCTGTACCTACTTAGAATCACCATCATATCAGCCTGATGAACATAGTCCTCTTTGGGGTTACCTGTAGTTGCCAATCTTGGCAGGCGGGTTGGAAACCGCTATTAGCCTTTAGTGATGTTATAAGAGGGACGCGGCTACCCATTACTCAACCATTGCCTTAATTAGAATACAAAAGGCTAAAACAATGTTACTAACGAATAATTGTTACTTTAAAAAAAAAAGATAAACAGCGATTATGTTAGAAAAGATGGCCTTACTTCTAAAAGGGATCTTTTCAATCCAACTTAATACAGTAATATAGGAAATAAGTATCTAGTACATGAAAGTTGTGAAAAAAATCACTAAGTATAAATACAAAATACATATAATAGTAATAAAAAAAACTTACATGAATGTTTAATAAATAAATAATAACAACATGTAATTTTTATATATCTACTTTACCATGATCAGTAATTGCGTATCCTATCAAAGAAAAAATCAAGAATATCTGGAACCGGCGTTTATGCATGAAAGTAGATGAAGCACTTTTTTTTCTCTGAAATAGATAACTTAAGTAGAATTTTTGTCACTTCACGATGGTTATAAACTTCTTTATTTTATTTTTTTTTTGTAACTTAAATAAAAAGTGGTACATAATTTAAAATTGTGTTTCTAAAAAACAGACTTCAATAGTAGCAAAACCAGTCACTTTTACTTCACCTGAAAATTTACTGTATTCCTTATTTTTATAAATGATGTGATACAGTATAAAATAAATAAATAAATAAAAACTATTGATCCGATTTTAATAAAACTTCTATGGAACCATTTTTAAAGTATATTCTTTCAGATAAAAGAGATTTTTCCAAATCTTGAGTTATAAGACAATAAACATAAACAACAACACAACATGTCAGTGTATGGGAGAGACATGTTCAGCAATGGACTAATAAAATAATGGCTGAGATGATGATAATAATGATGACACATTAATAAAATACGACAGAATTGAGACTTCAAAACAGAACCTCCTTCTCTTTTGATGTCAATTGAAAAGAAGTATTCTCTATCAACCAACCTTAATTTTGTATAAAGAGACTAGATGGCGGTACCTTTATGGCTTTATACGAAAATAATTTTATTTAATACAATATGAAGACTTCAAAATATACATAATAATTATATAAAACTTCTTAATATAAATATTAAATGGTCTTAGGATTATTTTTATTACTAAAGTTCAACTATCTTTTTTCAGGGTGACTCTGGTGGTCCTTTGGTAGAAGATGGCAAAATTGTAGGCATCGTCTCTTGGGGCATGCCATGTGCTCGGGGCTACCCCGACGTGTACACCAGAGTTTACTCATTCAAAGATTGGATTTTGGAAAATATTTCTGATCAAGGCGAAAACGCTTCAAGCGAAATAACAGAATAGTAATGGATTTTTTATTTACCTACGTAAAACATTTTGCATTGTAAAAATATTTCTGTACATATAAAATATATATAATATATATATGTTGTTTTTATTAAACATTCTCCTCTCCATGTTATAACCCTATCACAAGTATTACTTACGGCTCTATTAGCCTTCCGGGAAAATCCCAATTCTACAGTAATTCCGACATTGTGTTTTAATCTAACTACTGTATTAGACTGTATATATTTCAAATACATAAAACATACCCACTGCTTGACTCTATTTATATAATAAATTACTATACATATTCAATTATTTGCTTATCCGTATTCATTTAGTAATAACTCGCGGATTTACTTGTATTGCTACATATTTACCAGATGAAGACTTTGTACAAAAGTCGTTTGCTTGGGTACCTCTGACACCTCTGTCCCATTCGTGTTTCAACCATGAAGCAATTATGTTTGCATGGCTGTGTTTTGGTTTGGCTAGTTTACAGGATACAGAGGAATAACAACTGAGTCCTCAGGAATGGCAACGCATGGGGAGTATAATGGGCGAAACAGTATACTCTGTTATATCCATGGTGCTGCTCATGTCTATAGGCGACAGTTACCACTTTCCATCAGTAGGCCGTCAGCTTGTTTGCCATTTTAAGTTGTATAAAAAAATATATCGCGAACCATACAGCATTGCAGGCCAATTGAGAACCTGTTTTTCGATGTTGGTTTCGAAGGACGTTAACGACTTCAATTTCATACTGTTGTAATCTCGGTAAAAATATAAACATATTGTATTTAATAATAATTTCACAGTTGTTGAGAAATAGCTCGCAGATGGAATATGATATTTGACGTTGAACATTCTTCTATTTGTAAATACAAAGTTATTTATTTTTATATTCACAAAATGGGAGAAATGCAACGCTTCCGTTGCGAGTTGCACTTCAAACGAAGTATTCTTTCGTAAAGAATGTATTTAAATTGTACTGAGTCACCGGAGACGACAATATTTACTGGCACTGACAGTTTTTAACCGACTTAAAAAAAGAAAAGGTTGTATTTTATGTCTATATTTTCTATATAAAATCTTATAAAACGTGAGTCCTAACAATTTACTGACTCGTCCCCTCCTTTGTCAATTTTAGGTATTATATTGTATGTACATATATATGTATGTACGGTTGAGTCAACGTAGTTCTGCCATCTACCATCACATTCCGGGTCTATTTTCAACCGACTTCAAAAAGAAGGAGGTACTCAGTTCGTTAATTTTTTTTTAATATTTGTTACCTCTTAACTTTGCCAGTTGTAAACAGATTTGGAAAATTCTGTTTTTATCTGAAAGAAATTAAAAATTATATATTAGTCCCATAGAATTTTTACAATATCGGTTTAATAATTTAGTTTTTATACCAAAATTATTAGTTTTGTCACAACTTAAGTCGGTTTCTCTGTGGAACAAAATCAACCAGCAAATGAAGTAATATGAATTTTTTAAATTAAATTTCGTATATACGAATAATAAAACACTTACCACAGTTCTTTTTACCACCACCTTAATGAAATTATTGTCATCGCTTTTACTTGATACTTTATCACTTTAGTTCTTGGCGTTCCATTGTTTCTGCCTACCCTAATGGGAGACAGGCGTGACAGATATGTATGTATGTATGTATGTATTCTTAAATACACTCTATATATACTCTTAAAACATCTTCAAAGCCTAACTGCGGTTGTCAATCCGCCTACCAAGCGCGGCAACAACTGGCAAAACCCCGCACAGAAGAGGCTTATGTTCGACAGTGGACAGTTAAAGGCTGATATGACGATATTGATGATGAAGATAAGTTTGTTTGTTTGTTTATTTTATACCTCTGTAGACCTTAATTCCACCTCAATGTATGAAAGAATTTAGACACAATTTTTATTTCATACTTACATTATATTTTCTTCGTTGAAAATAAAAATACATCGTTACTCCATTTTGCATAAAAGCCGAGACTTTGATCGAACGAATGGGTTATTGGATTGAACCAAAAATGAGCATTCTTATTTACTTGTACCCACCGTCAAGAATTCCGTGAACCTTATAAACAAGTTTGTCGCCAAGTTTTCTCGTTAACAAAAATATTTGTTTTAGATAATAAATGCATTAAGTAATTACATCATTTTACTAGAAATAGGAAATATGACGATATTTCCTTGTATGTATATATTCATTTGTATATATGTATAATATATATAATATAAATTATTTGTTATAATAAGTAGATAATATGTATTTGATGTTTTTGTGCGTTATAAGTTTTTGTATTTTATATACGTGAAAATTATGTGAACGAGAATTATTATATATATATATATATATATATATATATATATATATATATATATATATATATATATATATATATATATATATATATATATATATATATATATATATATATATATAAAATTCTCGTGTCGTGGTGTTTGTTATCAAATTCCTCCGAAACGGCTCTACCGATTTTTATGAAATTTTGTGTGCATATTGGGTAGTTCTAAGAATCGGCCAACATCTATTTTTCATAGCCCTCAGTGATAGGGGTGACCCACCCCTAAATATTTTATTTTTATATTTGTGATTTTTTTTTATTTTTATTTTATTATGATTTAGCATTGAAAAATACATACAAATTCAAATTTTAACGCGTTTTCGATTTTTTACCGAGTCAGCTAGTGTATATATATATATATATATATATATATATATATATATATATATATATATATATATATATATATATATATATATATATATATATATATATATATATATATATATATATATATATACATATATACATATATACATATATACATATATATATATATATATATATATATTAATCTGTACTTTATGCTACTGTATTTAACTTAAAGTATTTATATGTCATTGTTTATTTTATTATTATTATTTATTTATTATTTCTGATGTAAAGAAATAAATAAATAAAAAAATAAACTTTATCACATACAAATTGGTTATTTTTCGTTCGATAAAAAATACATAACTGGTTACTTATAAAACGTAAAAGTATAATAACTGTAAACTTTATCGTTATGATATATGGTTATATATCTACCATTAAATGAGTTAAGAAAATTATATAGTCATTTGGGATTCTATAAAGAAATATTAGAATATTACTAATAATGAAACATTGATTGGCTATTTTTTTGGGCTGAGCTGTACATTATAAAAATTCGTAAGATGTTTATGACATCTTTAAAGGAAATATACACAACTTACCCATACATCGGGCATACAATACAATTACATACCATTTATTATTTTACAGTTATACAATGAAGTCGTTAATAATAAAATACTTTAAAAAATCCGAAGGTTCACCCTTTTGCGTGCGTGCGTGAATGCATGAGTGTTTTCAATTCTTTTTACAACATTTTCTTTACGATACAGTTTTTCTCCCATGTGTACAATTATGTTTGTTTTTACATTTTAATAACCTTTTGTGTACAATAAAGAATAAAGAAAGAAAGAATTGTACCTGCCCATGCTGTAAATCCCAATATTTTGTTTTCAGAGCAAAAATCTTAAAATATTATCATGTCCGGTTCTCTTTCTCAAACTGTTGCAATAAATAAATTTCTGTCCACTTTTAATGTATTTTCAAAGATTTATTTACATTTACTTTCTTCGGAGCAATCAATTGATGAATGTATTTTACATTAATCGCGAATTCAGAATAACACCTCAGTTTTTCCACCTGATAAATCAAGAGGGGAAATTTTCATAGTAGAAAATTCACCTGTTTACGGCACGCGTTCTAGAATTTGTAACGTTATATATAAAATAAATTTTCTTTCACCTTTACCAACGAAGTAAGTGAGTTATTTTTAGACTGAGAAGTTTTTTCCCCGATTCGTGATATGTGATGTACATTTTTAGCAGCAGGTAAGTACCGCACTCTATTTTTAACGTTCCCAATCATAAAGGTTACGATATGAAGGTAAGTTTTCGAAGTGCTTTAACTAGAACAATTTTATCCGGCTAACGAAAGAAGTAGGGAAATGTGTTTTAGGGTGTATGCATAAGAATAATATTCCGACAAGTCAATTAGATAGGAATCGAACTCACATATCTCTACTATCCGGGTAAAATAGATGTAATACCCCAGGTATATCATGTAATGGTATACTTATTATCATAGAATATTATTAGTCTTAAATTTATTTATTTTTTCAAATGCCTGACCCCTGACTTTGACGCCATCTACCGATATTGTATAACATGTGTATATCTAATATAATTTTGTTTTTATATAATTGTGTAATCTTCATTATTATGTTGTTCTGTCAGATCCAATATGTATAATTTATATTATTTTTCTTAAGAGCAATTGTATTTAACTAATGATATCATTAAAATGAAAGATTTGTTTAGTGTATATGTGTAAATAAATAAATAAATAAATAATAAAATGTAGGATCACAAGCCAATAGTTCCGTTTAGTAACGTTAGTTACGATTGTACTAGATATTACTCCATTTTTTTAACCAATTTTTTTTAGTATTCGACTCGATCCTCACTTTGTACAAAATTTACTGCTTTTTTAATCGATTTTTAATTCGAGACAGTTTTAAATAACATTGGCATTTTAAATATCAATATCAAACTAAATTCATATTCAATTTCAATTCTGTGAATCTAGAATGCCTCTAACCCGGCATTATCTGCCGATAACATTCCTTTCAAAAAGCGATTGGGTTCCGAACCTCAGAAAACCGGTTTTACGATTGAGATACCGTTGATCCTGTACCCATACAATATGAAACCAAATCCTGAAATATCCCTTGACGCGTTTTACAACCCGTAAACGTATCCTTTATAAAACCTTTTGGAGTAAATTTTGTATAGACAAGTTTTTTTTTTATGTGTATAAATAAATATAAAAATTAAACGTTAAATTGTTGTAAAAACTCTATAGTCGTTTTTATTAATGTTCTATAATCAAAATATTAAATACAAAAATATAACAATATAATAATTTATGACAGTTTGCTATTCT